AGATATAGATATAGATATAGATATAGATAGGTCTAGGTGTGTTCGGGTCTTTTCCTGTGTAAGATTAAGAGTATCTTGGCGACGTTTCGGCAAGGTCCCACTCGCCATCCTCAGGCTGGTGCTTTTGGCTTCGTGCCAGTGCAAGCAGTGTGTGATTGGAGCTGCCGTCTCTCAATATATACTGGTGGGGGGGGGCTGGTGTGCTGGGCTGGTTGGCTGCGCTGCTGCCTCTTGATTGGTTGATGGAGTTGATGTTGGTATAATGGGCTGTGTGATGGCCTTGTGAGTTTTGTTGTGGAGATATCCTGGATCTTGTGCTGTAATCTCCTGGGTCATTTGTTTTGTAGTGATCTTTTTTCCATTAGCCTCATGTTTTAACGGCTTGGGTAATGGGTTGTGTGATGGGCTTGTGAGTTCTTTTGTTGTGGTATCCTGGGTCCTGTGTTGTAATCTCCTGGGTCGTTTGTGTTTTGATCTCTTTTCCATTAGCCTCCTGTGTAGTAACGGCTTGGGTAATGGGTTGTGTGATGACCTTGTGAGATTTATTGCTGTGGTATCCTTGGTCTTGTGCTGTGATATCCTGGGTCATTTGCTGTGTTGTAACTTCTTGAGTTCTTGAGCAGTTCACACACTGCTTGCACTGGCACGAAGCCGAAAGCACCAGCCTGAGGATGGCGAGTGGGACCTTGCCGAAACGTCGCCAAGATACTCTTAATCTTACATGGGAAAAGACCCAAACACACCTAGACCTACATACCTGTACCCGTGAAAATCTACGTATATACACACACACACACACACACACACACGTCATTATAGTTGTGCTTTTAAAGTTGTAGCAACGTTTCGGCAGAATCTCATCTGCCATTATCAGGCTTCTGTATAGTGTTCGTCTGTGAAACCAGACCACGGCTGCATCACCAGCTGCCACACACCAGCTGTCCGTTTGCTTTAACCAAGCAAACGGACACACACCATAAACACATATCCAGGCCTCAAACTCAGAGCCAAACCAAAAACCCGGAACGTCACATCACAGCCACCCGCTCAGGATATCACATCACAGAACTCAGGAGGTTATACCACAAAACCTCAAGATGTTGCAACACAGCCAATGACCCAGGAGATTACAGCACAAGACCCAGGATGTCACAACAATAGAACTCAGAAGGTCATCACACAGCCCATGACCCATGTCATTACGACCCAGGAGATTAGAGCACAAGACCCAGGATGTCAAAACAATAGAACTCAGAAGGTCATCACACAGCCCATTACCCAGGTCATTACAACACAGGAGGCTGATAGACACACAGCCAATACCTCAGCCACACATGTTCTTATGAAAAAGCCAGCCAATCTGCAAACCTCAACTCCATCAACCAATCAAGAAATGACAACACAGCCAACCTCCCCACCAGTATATATAGAGAGGCGGCAGCTCCGATCACGCTTTGCTCGCACAAGCACGAAGCCGAAAGCACCAGCCTGAAGATGGCGAATGGGACCTCATCGAAACGTTGCCAAGATGCTCTCAATCTTACACGGGAAAAGCTCTGAACACGCCAAGACCTGAATACCTGTGCCCGTGAAAATCTACGAAAATACATACATACATACATACATACATACATACATGCATGCATATATGAAAGCCTATATATATAATCTATTGGTGCAATAGCTGACATCACTTGGATGATATCAGCAAGGAGGTGAAAGCTCATCTAGGCTGTGTGCTTTGGAATGTACATGATCAAGTGGGATTCTACACTATAAATCCTGGAATGGAATATAAATTGATAAATGGCATACTAGCTCTAACAGATAATGCTTTTTTGCTATCACAGCTCTGCTAGCAGTTAAGAATGCTCCACTGCCTAGTCCCTCTCCTCCTCTCCCTCTTCCTCTTCCTCCTCCTCCAACTCTTCCCTTTCTGCTACCTACTCAATCTAAACCCATTTTGGGGGGGAAATTAAAGCATGGAAACTTCACATATTACCCCATACCAAGCCAATCAATTGGTCCACCTAATGAAGGGATGTCTACAAGGAAAACCTGGCAGTTGGGCTCTAAAGTTTTAATCAGGAGTCTTTCCTGGTCTTCCCTGTTCATAACTGAGATTGGGCTATGTACAAGAAATAAATTATAACCCTCCTGAATGCAGAGAATTAAAAATGGCACCAGCTGACATGGATTGTAGCCTATTCTATTTTTAAATTATATGTAATTCCAGAACTGGAGCCATTCCCTGGATACAGCTACAGTTTGGCAGATGTAGATTTAGCTGGGCAAGTTTTACTGGCAAATGGCAAACCGAGTAATTTCATTCCTCTATGGGCATATCCACACTTTCTGCTTGGCCCATTGCCAGTATAGGCCACTGACTGCTTTCAGACTGCAGGAATAGATGACATCATCCTTGCCCCACTCTTCGCACATGCACCCTTGCCTGGAATTTTCCAGCTTCCATTCAGAATAGATGTTCTCAGAGCTTTGTTCCAGTCTATCAGCAGCTCCAATTCTGATTGGCTGTAGTGTCTGTCATGGTCCCTCCCTTCCTCCTCCAGCCGGTCACTCATCTGACAAACATAACAGGCAATTATGTTCTCTACTGATCTACAGTTGCTGTTTGGATTTTTAAAATCTGTTGTTTATCTAATGATAGCCCATTAACTCACTCAAGTACCTTCAACCTTGGAAGTTAATGCTCCATTCAAACACCTACCAGCAGGCAGTCTTTTTTTTTTTTTTTTTGTCCAACTGGGTTTGTCCAGCATGGTTCTCCTGTTTCCCCAGTCTGCCTACAGGACTGCAATGTTTTGTTTTGTTTTTTTCTTTTTAAAATATGTTTAAATTGCAACACAGGAATATTGCAACTTCGCTGTGAAGCTAAATTTTCAATTCTTCCTTGCTAAGAAGTTTTTTGAAAGGGAAAACATGAAGGAATAATCTCTGAATCAAAAGCTAGGCACATGCCTTCTCTGCATGATTTGGGAAGGACGTGACCAGTCAGGGCTTACAGTGGCCATAGCACAGACTAAACACCAGCTGCAACCCACTGCAATCTAGACTGGAATTTCTGCAGTTGACTTTGGAAGCAGCCAGAAACAACACAGGAGACGAACATCTTACATTACAATACAGAATTGTTCTCTCTTACTTTATGAAGTCCTGACAGGAGTAGAACTAATTGGATCTATTGTAATTTCACATAAAGAACGGGATTAGTTATAAGAGCTTGGGCAGGAAGGAGATGCCACAAGTCAAGTCAGTTGAATCCAAGTCAGTTTCTCCCCATAGATATCCCAGACACTGTTCCCATATCTCACATCCAACACCTTAGAACACTTATGATGACATAGCAGTGGATTGGAAGTCGGTTTGGCTTTTGCATAAAAAGCTGTCCATCTGATCCTCCAGTTTATATATTGGGACATCCAGGATGAATGTCAATAGGGCTGGTCATCTGCTGTCTTATATTATTTGAGCCCTAATGGGTTTGGTTTCCACTTCTGTTTATTCTTTCCCTGGTTGCTTTTTCAGATTCCCATTCTGCAGCTACAAAAAGCAAAACTAGTGAAGACATCACCCAGACCTCCAAATACAGTCCAGCTTATTCACCAGATCCATATTATCACTCAGAAACAGAGTATTGGACTTTTCAAGGTTCACCCAAAGGTAACATTTTCCATTCAGGACACTAAAATCTTTATATTCCAACTATACCCCATATGTCAAGAACATATTGAGGGAGATTATATCTGAGATCTCCAAAAGAGGACAATAAAATGTTTGCATTTTATGACAGATAACCCTGGTTCTCTGAAAGCCTTGGATGGATGCAAGTCCAAGATGCCCAAGTTAATTACCAAGTTGTAATATGACATAAGAAGGGAATCATTGCATATATGGCTGGACAGTACATATTCAATTTCTTGATATATGAATACAAATGATATTACATAAAATGTATCCTTTATTATGGACCCACCTACTTTCAACTCTAACAGCACCCTGACTTTCCACTCTGACTCCAGTGCACTTCAGACTTAAATGGCCGTGCTAAAAAGAATAGATTACACAAGGCAACAGAAATCTGTCTTAGGCCCATCCCTAATAACATTTTGCCTTACTCTGACATTGGGCAAACGCCAAACTGAATGCTTTGACTGTATTTCTTTGTAGCTCCTCGAGTTCGAAGATTCTCATCAGGAGGAGAAGAAGATAGCTTTGATCGGGGGATGCACAGAGTGAGTGTTCAGTTCTGATTAACTTTTGCCCTTGCTGTCATGCTGGTGTAGACAATACTCTTACTTTTGTCTTGGAGTAGTGAAACTTAGTGTTTTTTTCTATGCCGACCTTTAGTGCGTTTGAAAGGAGGATTCACAACTTGGCAAGGGCTTCAGCTATTTATCTGTATAGACTCAGATAAAGCCACCTTCCTCTGTGATGAGGTAGACCCACCTACCCAAAACTGATGAACTATCAGATACGCTGGTCTTCCAAAATTCATATGGTTGGCTGGAAAATATGAAAATTGAACTCCACCTCATCAAACATTGATAGTTGCTATAAATAATGACATCACCCACCCTATCTCATACAAGATGTTGCTTTTGGACATAGTATGTTGTCTAGTAATAGTTGTGTAGGTCGTTGTATTAATATTAACCAAATATTAGTCTTAAGCAGACCTTTCTGTAAAAACAAGATGCTCCTTATTAAATGCATATGTATATGTCTGTATGCATGTATGCTTGGTATGTTTAAAATCCTACACTAAAGCTGAAAGAAAAAGTTTGTCTCTATGACTCCCACTCCCTCTATGACTCCCACCCTTGTTTTTTCTTTTTCTTTTTCAAATATGTAGATCCAGACAGGAATTGGCCGGTTGATACTGAAGGAAGAAATGAAGGCCCGTGCTAATTCATACATGGACCCTTGGACACCTCCCCGCAGCTCTGCGAGCAGCAGAGAAGCTCTTCATACAGCAGGCTACGAGGGCTCCTTAAATGGCTGTAAGCAACAACAGGCACATCACAACCATTCTGCCTGCCAGCAGAGAACTGTTTTTTTTTGGGGGGGGGGGGGAATCTCAACAGTGAAAGATCGAATAGACATCTGTAGGAACCATGATTGTATGTGAGGATCCCAGAGCATCGATCTCCCACCAGAGTGCTGAGATCAGATGAGATCAGAAGTGGTATTCAGTAGGTTCTGACCAGTTCTGGAGAACCAGTAGCGGAAATTTTTGAGTAGTTTGGAGAACCGGCAAATACCACCTCTGACGTCCCCCACCCCCATCTTCTTTTGTTGCCCTGCACAGGAGAATGGAGCTGGAAAGCAGGTTAGTGGGGTGGGGAGGGAGTGGGGATTTGGCAGTAACCTTCTCCCAGGAGTGGGAGGGGAATGGGGATTTTACAGTATCCTTCCCCTGAAGTGGGAGGGGAATGGAGATTTTGCAGTATCCTTCCCCTGCCATGCCCACCAAGCCATTCCCATCAAGCCATGCCACACCCACCAAGCCATGCCCACAGAACCGGTGGTAAAAAAATTTGAATCCCACCACTGGATGAGATCAGATATTCAACATGCTAGCGCTGGAAAGCTCCAGTGCTAGCAGCTCAATGACAACCAAGAATAGACTTGAAGAAATGTGTATAATTGAATAGAACTATGGATGTGATTGTTCCAGGTAGATTTTACTTGCTCCATACAAATACATAGTAAAGGATGATGAGTCTGGGGCCAAATGCCCAATAGGCAATTAACATAATTTCTAGTGATGTAATAGGAATGAAAACAAGTTTTATATCAGCTCAAAATGTTGGACCACACTAAAAATTACTAGTGGGAAGTGGAAGTGGCCTTAGAGAAAGAAGAGCCCTGAAAATAAAGAAAATAACAGAAGTCATGGAAGAAGAACTTTGTATGTTCAGAGTGACCAAACGCAATCAATCCATTTGCTTATATCTGTTTCTGGCTCTTGTACTGCACTTTTTTGACTGATCAAACCATCTGATTTTATTTTATTTTTTTGCCACACTAAAAACACACACACCAAAGAATAAATTCTTAAAACCTTTAACTGGTAATAATTCAAATGCAACTTTGAACATGCCCTTTCTCTCATGCATATATCCATTTCATGACCGCTGTCTCTACTCCATCTCTATTTTCTCTATAAGTTAATTGCCTCTTAAATCCCAAGCTTTTTTGCCCCTGTTCTGATTAGGGAACTCTGTCCTCATAGTAATTCCTGCAGATCCAAGATTAGTACCCAATTAGTATTAATAGTACTAATAGTACCCTATTAGTACTAAGGAACATCAAGAAGTAGCCTTTAGGTACATCCATTTCACTGCTGGGATGAACTAGATGTCTGAAAAGATTCCTGTTGTTTCCTTATTGGTTGTGTGTCACACATACTGTACCAGGTTAGGTGATGCATATGTCTGTGTTTTGTTTTAATTATATATTTCAGGATGCTAAAATAAAATTCAAGAGGCTGCTCTCTAGTGTTTGAGGTCAAGACTAAGTATCTAACAATAAAATCATACTCACTAAAGCCAGATGTTCCAAGACACTTGAATTTCTTTGATAATATGAATACTTTGTATGTATCTCTGTTTCAATGATGCAATGTGGATTTACTATATACACTTTGTTGCAACAGTCAACTTTTGCACTCTAATACACCTGAATGACCTTATTACAGTTGGAATCAAAAGAGATTTTTATTACATGAACTACTTTATCTCACCTACATTATTCTGATAGACAAGTATAGTATGAATGAACGTTGAAGAATTTCAAATGTGCACCAACAATAGCATTAATTGACCACCAGATGGGACTGTTGTTAGCTGAGCAGCTGTTCATTTTTAAATTATTATTAAAGTCAAACTAGACCTGGCAGGTGTGTGCACTTTTTTGCCACTCTTAAATAAATGCAAAGCAGTCTTGGACTGAGCAGATAAATGAGATAGTAACCTGGCACACATAACAAAAATCTCACTCAAAACTCATTCTTTTCAACTCTTGATCATAGAAAAGGCAGAAGTATGTGGTCTGCGGAAGGTTTTGAGTAGAAAATGTTATATAAAAGCAACAATTTAAGACCAAGACATACAGTATACTACAATTATGCTGATATATGGCAGTATATAAAACATGGGGTCCAGTGTCTGTACATGCAATCATAATCATGTGCAGAGTCATATAAATGTACATGCCTGAATTTACACATAACTACTTCTCATGGTTCATCAGTGCTGTGTTTTCTGAGAGATTTGAAACTCCTGCATATAATTCCTCCCAGGAACCCCTAGGCCCGTTTGGTGGCCCCTCTGGCCAGTATTCTTTTGCAAGTTCCTTTTTTTTTTTTGTGTAGACCTTCTCAGTGTAGAAACTGGATTTGCATACGTGATTGGCCTGGCTTCTGCACTGAGAGGGAACTGTAGTCATTGGCTGGTTAGGAAGAGTCCGATTAATTAAAAGTAGGATTGTGGCAAATAGATAAGTGATGGGAAATATTCAGAATGAGCTCCAATTAAACTACTGCAGAGGTATGCACTGCACTCTGAGCACCAGTGGCCTCTTTGATAATTGGCAAATTTCAGGATTGCTGATTTTTGTTTGTTTGTTTATTTACTTTAATAGAGGCCTAAAGTTCATTATCCAGAGCCGGGTGAAAAATAATGAATGGTTTGGATCCAGAGCTTCTGAAAAATGGACTCTGCCCAGAAATCTGTGAAGAATATCAGATTGCACCGGCAAATGCTTCCCTATCAAATCTTTCTTTCTCTCTCTCTCTCTCTCTCACCTCCCCCAGCATTCTTTTCCACCAACTAGTTTGCAGGCAGGAACATTTTGGAGGGAAGGAAGGGGTGTGGGCGTCCATGTGTGTTATGGCTTTTGTGACGTGGGAGTCAGAGAATCTGCTGGCAACATATAATCATCCAGAGTTCTCTAAAGTCATTATTTATTTTGTGTACACTGTTTATAGAGCTTATAGAGTATATCAGGATAAGAATATTATTGTCATTCTGAAACAAAATAAAAAGATAACAAAAAACTCCCAACTCTACCCAGATACAAGAAAATCCAATGCCACCTACCACTTGGACAGTATCATGACATTATTCTCATAGTGGTGCCATCACCTAAGACAGTTTTTTGCAGGAATGTATCTAGTTTGATGCTCCTATATATTGGTTTGATATCTTAATTTGTCTTCTTTTATAGCACCCCGGTCACACTACCTGGCAGACAGTGGTATGTGTTTTTTGACTTCCTGCCTCTTTTGCTTCATGTTCTTCAATCCATTGTACCTCTCTAATAGGGTATGATTGGATTTGATGAGTTATGGGACTCTTGACCCATAATTAGGTGGTGATATTTATGGAGTGATGTATGGCTTCTCATATGTGCATCTATAATGTTCAAAAGTAAAGAAGAAATGGCAACCCTACTATTTATTAAACAGAATGAAGTAGGCTACTGTTCTCAGGTTGAGGTAAACCTGAGATAAACCACCTTGGGAGGCAGCTCTCATGGAATTATTATCTGTGATTTACTTCATTAATGTATGTTTAGAACTAATAGGAGTGGTTTGTATGTTCTGAATAACTTCCCCTATTTACATTCAGTGAAATTATTCTGCTTTTCCGGGAGGTGCAGTTCTTTCAGACAATATGGTAAAATAAATAAGGAGTTAGTCAGACATAAGAAAGAACAAAATCAGATCCTTGCTCTGACTAGACAACTTTGGACTAGTCACCTTTTAGCAGTAATACCAGCTAATGATGAAGAAATTGGTAAAGAATCACATAGTCTACTGCATGTTTATTTGAAGAAATTCTGACTTGCCCATTCTTTTTTTCCCCCCTCAGATCCCCTCATTTCAAAATCTGCTTCTCTTCCTGCTTACAGAAGGAATGGGCTCCATAGGGTAAGAGCAGCCACAGATTTCAACCCCAAGTGAAAGTATTTCCAATTATTTGTCTGAAAACTGCCATTTTAATAAAACTAACGTTGCCCTCCCCATCATGATCATTTCTCATTGTAAGAATCAGGAGTTCTCTAAGCTAATGTTGAGAGTCGTGTTGGTGTCAGAAATGAGACTGATGTCCTTCCACAAGCATTATGCCGAGAGAGTATTGGGCAGTTGCTAAGAAACAGTTAGCGAGACTCCTGGTGAAGATACGAACATATTAGATTACAAGTGGGAGTTTGGGATTAGAAAACCACAGCCACTCCTGAATATATAAGAATAGCTGGTGCCTCAGAATGGCTTCTTTAACTAGAGTGGAAAGCACATTTGTCCAGTGTATAAAGTTTCTGCTGGAGAAGCAGTTTCATGATCTAAGCTCGGGTCTATGTACTGTATTCCATAGAGCCTGCTTATGGCTTTGTAGCACAATCCATTGCTAAATGAAAGGAAAGTTTACATCATTGGAATAAATCCTGGATCAGATTCCCTTGGAAGTCAGCTAGCCCTCCCTCTTGACAGAATTAGGAGGCTCTCTGATATAGCTGGGAGATGGAAGGGATAAGGAAAGAGTCATATTGTGCCCAGCATCCCTTAATTTGGCCTGCTCCACAGAGATAGTGGTGGGACACTATCCCATTAGTACTATTGAAAGCTTACCTCTGGATGCTGAGGGAGCTTCCTCACTGGAGGCTTTCAAGAAGAGATTGGACTGCTATTTGTCACAAATGGGGCAGGGTCTCCTGCTTGGGCGGGAGGTTGGACTAGATGACCTACAAGGTCCCTTCCAATTATGTTAATCTGTTAATCTGAAAGTTAGGATCTTCACAAATCCAGACTGTTTCTATCAATGGAAATGTAAAAAAAAAAAAAGAAAAAGTTCCACAAAGGGTGCAGTGTATTGGGATAAGACTATTCATGAACTAATCTTTTAACTTCAAAACTATTACAATTTTTAGTTAGTGTAACCTATTTCAGAACCAAACAATCTTATTAAGGCTTGAGAATTATTGAAAGGCTAAAACATCTCACTTTGAACAATCAATAAGATGACACTTAGATAAACTTCCCCTCCTCCTCCTCCCCTTCTTCCTCCTCCTCCTCCTCATTCAGTTTTGAAAAAACACCTGAAACTCAAAAAATTAGAATATTGTGCAAAAGTTCATTTATTTCAGTAATGCACCTTTAAAAGGTGAACCTAATATATAGGATAGACTCATTACATGCAAAGCAAGATAGTTCAAGCCGTGATTTGTCATAATTGAGATGATTATGGCTTACAGCTCATGAAAACTCCAAATTCACAATCTCAGAAAATTAGAATATTGTGAAAAGGTTCAATATTCTAGGCTCAAAGTGTCCCACTCTAATTAGCTAATTAAGCCATAACACCTGCAAAGGGTTCCTGAGTGGTCTCTCAGTGTGGTTCAGTAGGAAGCACAATTCAGTAGGAAGCACAATCATGGGAAAGACTGCTGACCTGACAGTTGTGCAGAAAACCATCATTGACACCCTCCATAAGGAGGGAAAGCATCAAAAGGTAATTGCAAACAAAGTGCTGTATCAAAGCACATTAATAGAAAGTTATGTGGAAGGGAAAAGTGTGGAGGAAAAAGGTGCACAAGCAGCAGGGATGACCGCAGCCAGGAGAGGATTGTCAGAAAAAGGCCATTCAAAAGTGTTAGGGACTTTCACAAGGAGTGGACTGAGGCTGGAAGTCAGTGCATCAAGAGCCACCACAGACAGACGGATCCTGGACATGGGCTTCAAATGTCATATTCCTCTTGTCAAGCCGTTCCTGAACAACAAACGTCAGAAGCGTCTTACCTGGGCTAAAGAAAAACAGACCTGGTCTGTTGCTCAGTGGTCCAAAGTCCTCTTTTCTGATGAGAGCAACTTTTGCATCTCATTTGGAAACCAAGGACCCAGAGTCTGGAGGAAGAATGGAGAGGCACACACTGCAGGATGTTTGAAGTCCAGTGTGAAGTTTCCAGAGTCTGTGTTGATTTGGGGAGCCATGTCATCTGCTGGTGTTGGTCCACTGTGCTTCATTAAGTCCAGGGTCAACGCAGCCGTCTACCAGGAGATTTTGGAGCACTTCATGCTTCCTTCCGCAGATGAGCTTTATGGGGATGCTGACTTCATTTTCCAGCAGGACTATGCACCAGCCCACACTGCCAAAAGCACCAAAACCTGGTTCAATGACCATGGGATTACTGTGCTTGATTGGCTAGCAAACTTGCCTGACCTGAACCCCATAGAGAATCTATGGGGCATTGCCAAGAGAAAGATGAGAGACATGAGACGGAACAATGCAGAATAGTTGAAGGTCGCTATTGAAGCATCCTGGTCTTCCATAACACCTCCACAGTGCCACCGGCTGATAGCTTCCATGCCATGCCGCATTGAGGCAGTAATTGCTGCAAAAGGGGCCCAAACCAAGTACTGAGAACATATACATGTTTATACTTTTCAGAGGTCCAATATTGTTCTATATACAATCCTTGTTTTATTGATTGCATGTAATATTCTAATTTTCTGAGATTGTGGGTTTGGGGTTTTTATGAGCTGTAAGCCATCATCATCACAATTATGACAAATCACGGCTTGAACTATCTTGCTTTGCATGTAATGAGTCTATCTCATATATTAGTTTCACCTTTTAAGTTGCATTACTGAAATAAATGAACTTTTGCAAATATTCTAATTTTTCAAGTTTCACGTGTATGAGACAACTATGACCTGGATGACTGAGAATCTTCACAAACAGTTTTATTCTTTCCTCTTAACTCCTCCACATCCCATGCTATTTCTCTGATTAATCTCCCCCTATCCTTCACTCTTATTGCCAGTATACACAAATAGCAGGAAAAGTTTACGAACATCTTTATTGAACCAAGTATGTGTTTTTATATATTTCTTGATAGAAGCAGCTATAAAAGAATGGAGGAATTTTTAACAAGATTCTATTCTTGTTCCATTTACTGACCATTCCTTCTTCCACACTATAATTTTCTATGCAGCCTCCCAGCGCTGAACTTTTCCACTATGACAGCACACATGCCGTCAACTGGGGGATGCGAGGTGAGTGAAATAATGTAGGACAGAAATTGGGAAGGGGGGGATTCATAGACTTGCTGACTGATAGGTTGAATTTTATCAATGTATTATGATGATGACTGCTTTTAGGCAGGCAAAAATTATCCAAGATTGGGTGGCACATCCATGTGCTAACTAAATCAATACAGTGTTCGTGAGGCCTGCACCAAAATCTTAATTTGCGTGTTCCCAGATTTTCTCCTATCAGGATTTATACTGGTCAGAGATTGTGTTCTTAATACATTAGGAAAATATTTCTGAAAAGAGGGATTCGAAAACTTTTTCAAAATTTTACAAAAGAGCAACAGAATTACCCGTGGTTATTACAAGTTAAATTGTGGTGCCTGATGAAATCAATTTGCAGTTCAGAGTGTGCCCAACAATTAATGATAGGAAATATGGCACTGATTAGATTCAAATGACATATGAAGCTCACATGTTGTTGGCTTCTGACATAAAATTTTAAGATTTTATGTTAAGGGAAATTGTGATTAACAGAAGCAAAAACACTTATCCTATTAATCTTTTGTGGATAGTAAACACAATTGTAGTTGACACATAGTGCCAGTTGTAAAAGAAAGCACTTGCAACACAGGTCTATTATTATTAGCATCTATTGTTTCATAGATTGAATTGTTCATTCTTTAAATATAACCTTCTAATCAAATGCATCAGGATAAAAGTCTTCTATCTCTGGAAAGCACATATGTATTCAATCAGTATATTCAAATCCCCCAAATGGTTCATGGCCAAATAAGTGTTTAAAACACTGAGTTAAACAAATCTATATTCCATATCTAGAGAGTCCCATCTTCAAATTCAGCTTTACAATGAATTTATTTTAGATTGTTTTAAAGGTAGTCTATATTGCTCCCTATTATGGCCAAGCAGGCCCCAATAATGCCTAATTTTGCAAATACCACAGTATCAATGGGGGAGGGTATTTTGTTTTGTTTTAAGTGACAACAAGAGGGTTTGCAAATGCCAAAGATGCCATTGTTGAATGAAAGGGACTGGAGACTGACTTATCTGTTTTTGTCTCCCACCTTCTCTCTGCCTTATCTTTTTCAGAATACAAGGTAACGTGCTCTCAAGAACCTTACGAAATTTCTAGAATCATGGATACTCTTTCTTTGGAAAGCAGGAAGCTGTCACTATACTGAATAACAACCAGGGAAGCTGCATTAATAGCCGAATTAAAAGAGAATCTGATCTTGTTCCCTTTTGCTTCTTTGAATAACATCTGTTTGAATAAAGGCATCATCAATGCCTATTTCTCTTTCAGGAGCTTCTAAACCTATTGCCACCATGTCTCCTTTTAATGTAGTCTTAATGTACACACCTTCCCTAAAAATCTAAATACCAAAATGCACAAAGGAATAATGAAAACATTACAAGTTTCATTGTATTGTTTTCATTAGGTTCACTTCACATTCCCTTGATCTCTGGCTATAGCTCCCCTGAAAAGATACAACCCAGTCCTAAATTGTGAACTTCAGATGTACTGAATTCCCATGATCATAAACTAACACAGCCTTGAAAGATTCTGACTTTGAGTTATGAAACTTTGAACTAGTATATATGTGGATTATTCTGAGTTGAGCTTGATGATTTAGAAAAATTTCCTAGTACTCCTTATATTTGAAATATAAATTTCAAATATAAAAAAGAATTGTTTGATAAAAAAGAATTGTATGAATGAATGATGAATCATTGAATGAATGTCTTTTGTGAAAATGTGTGCTTTTGAAGAATTAAATAGATATAGCTGTGGAAAGACTGAATGCTGTAGGGAAGGTAAAGTATAAAATGAAATAAAGAGGAATTAAGTAAAGGATGTTAGAAGTCAGGAAAGGATGAAAATGAAAATGTTGCTGTACATTATTGCTTCTAATTTTTATTTTTAACACTTGCTGGAACCTTCTTTGCTATGTGCCAAGAATACTGACTGCCATTCAATTGCTGATAAACAAATGAAAATAAATCATTTCCCATATATATTACAATTATATTCTATATGGGTTGTAATATCTTAATTCACCTTCAGATTCCTGGATTCCCCTGGTCTCTTCTGGTAACAGATATCTGACTCTGTTCCTTTGAGGCAGTATCAGCCTGAATCAGATTCTCCCAGTGCAGGGATGTCAAACTTGATTTCATTGAGGGCCGCATCAGGGTTGTGTTTGACCTTGGTGGGCCAGGGGAAGTGTGACCAGGCTCCCAAGCTCTGTTTTTGGCTACGATGGCATCCTGCAACCGTCTGTCAGTGAAAACAGAGCTCGGGAGGACTGCATGTGGCCCTCACAAGCTCCATTTTCACTGGCAGAGGCACCACATGTCAGTTCTTTGCTGTTTCCAGGGCGGCCCCATGGGGCAGATGTAAGTACCCTGAGGGCCAGCCCCGGCCCCCAGGCCTTGAGTTTGACACCCTTGTCCCAGAGCATCTTCACACTGAAAAGGTATAATCAGAGGTTATAAAATGTCTTTCTGCAAATTAGCATTTTGTGACCTGGTCCAGCTCAAATATCTTTGACTTCAGTTTCTAAAGTATATGCTGACAGAAAAGTATAATAATTGAAATCCAATATATCTAAAAAATATTATGATGTATGAGCTATACTGACTGGCAGGATTTCAAACAGAAATCTTTTCCTGAGTCCGTCTGAGGCTGAGAAATGAACTTGATTTTTTTTTCTATATGTAAAGCATTTGTTACTGAGCTACAGTCTACCATGTTTCTTACAAAGAAAGGCATTACTTTACTATTATTAATAATTATAGCATATTACTAATAATATGCTGAACTGATAAAAGGTAAATTGCCGTATCTTTTGGGCTTTAACTGAGCATATAAGCAATGGGAAGAACCAAATTAAAAACTAATCAAGGAGAGAAGCAACTTAGAACCAAGGAGGAATTTCTTGACAGTGAGAACAATTAATCAATGGAACGACTTGCCTCCAGAATTTGTGGGTACTCCTCCAACACTGGAGGTCTTAAAAAGAGATTGGACAACCATTTGTCTGAAATAGTATAGGATTTCCTGCGTGAGCAGGGATTGGACTAGAAAACCTCCCTTCCAGCTCTGTTATTTTGTTATCATTATGGCATCACTTGTACTGCTGCTATTCTGAGCAAATAGAAACTGTAAATATCAGTGTTACACTGAATAGGATCACTGTATTTTAATCAGAGAAAGCAGTAATATTTTCCAAAAATATTCTTGTACTTCTCTTATGCCATGCGTTAAATTGGGAGTTGCCAGGTGCATATTGCAATTGGGAAGTGCTTAAATCTAAATTAAATTAGTAAATAAATAAATAATGTTTCATACCCACCAGCATTTTTACCCCGACTCCTTCACAAAGAAGATTGGGGAACATGCAATGATTATCTTCACTTCTACTGATTGCAAAGTGGTGAAAAAAATGTGGAAAATCAATACTCTCTTTCTTTATAGCTGATTAATAGGATATGAAAAATAAGACATCCTATCAATGTCCCAACTCCTGAGCTACCATGGGACATGGAGTAATAAAAATTACATCGTCACCATGTTACACAGAAAAGGAAACAAATTAGTAGCATCACAACCCGTTTTTTATAGTATGTGAAATTCTTTAGCATTTCCAAAACAAAGAATCCCAAAAGGTTTTAATGGAAATCTGTCTGAAGATCATTTCTTTAAAATGTAAAGAAAAATGCTGGTTCCCTGTAAAGGCTTCCTGACCATCTTCCACTATTCCTCTGTGGCAATTTTAAAAACCCTCTAAATTTGTAAAGGCAAAATGTTAAGCATGCTGGCAACCTTTCCAACAGAACACTGTGGTGAAGGTCATATGACACTACCAAGCAGGATGCTAAATATCTATTGGCGGAACTTAAGGCTGGGTGCTAAAAAGCAGTGTGAGCACTATTCCCCAAAGGGAAAATGGACTACTTACAAGTTTTACAGAGATGTTGCATTTCAATAGGTAGGAAATACCAGCATTGCTGTGAACCATAAACTGGAACAGACTCAAAAATTAATAAACCCACTTCCCAAAATAGAAAATATTGTGAGATTGATCGGATTCAAGCTAAATCCTAAAATGATGCAAAATGTTGGTGTGGAAGCTCCCATACACGTCATACATTTTCTCAAAACTATGTTCAGCAGATCCTTATTTTTCTGATTCTTTCATCCAGCATCATATTTCTCCCCCCCTTCTTTTGTAGATATACCCTTATGAGTTGCTTTTGGTGACAACTAGGGGAAAAAATCGCTTACCCAAAGATGTGGACAGAACTCGGTTAGAGGTAAGTCAAATGCAGCATCTGGAAACCACCTTCAAATACTTCTGGAACCTTTGAAACTGATTTTTGATGTCAGCGAGATCCAAGAAAAAGATTTACCATAAAGACATTCTGTATAGACAGATCAGTGGTGGTATTCAGCTGGTTCACACCAGTTCGGGCAAACCGGCAGCAATGATTTGGCGTAGATCTCTGAACCGGTAGTGACTTCTGGCTGGCCATGCCCCTGACCCAGTCGCCCAGTCATCGCTCACTCACTTGCCCCGCCCACCCGGTGCTCGTTCACCCAGTCACTCCTCACCTCCTACACAGCACACTAGGTCCCCATGGCTTGCCTTTAAACTGCCTTCCCATGTGGTTCCTGCGCCCCAACTGAGTAGCCCTGATCTGCCTGCTCCCAGGTAAGCCTGCGAGTCATGCTAGCCCTCCCCATTGTTCCCGTATCTTGCTGCCCCCCCCCCAATTCCTGGATCTTGCCCCCCCACCCCAGATGCTTTCAAATTCACATCTGTGACTATATAATATTAGAGACAGACTATTAAATTACTGGTAAATAGATTTCAGTTAAGTGAAGGGCAAAGTAAGCACTTTTAAACTAATCATACATACCCTAACATACATACTTATATTCAGCCTAACTATACAAGTAACTAATGAGTGTGCTGTTTCAATATTCTCAATATTGTGGCAACTTATAAATCTGATTGATTCATTGATTGATAGATGATAAAAGATGATAGATTAGTTAGACAGACAGACAGAACTAACCAAGAAAGGGGGAAATACTGAACCCACTGCAAGCAAGAGAAATCACTGCAGCTTTCTTCCTTCCCCTACATGTTAGATGGCAGCCTTAACAACCAAAAGATTCCCTGCCTTTACACTGTTCTCATGGCTGCTCTGAATCATATATGTTTATAAAATGACCAGGCTGAGCCCAAGGGAAGGATCAAACACATCATCGGTCATAGGGCCCTGCATGCCCATAAGAGATCTAAGTCTAGCTCACCTTGAATGCCTTCTTACGTCCCATCAATTTCCCTCAACCATTAGTAGCTCACATACTTGTAGAGAGCTTAACCTTGCAATAAATCTTTATAGTCTTTTCAACTGCCTGAATCTCCTGATGTCTCTGGTGCTTGACAAAATGCTATTTCTAAATCAGTTTCCTTCCTCATTTGTGGAAAACAAGGTGAACCATTGGTCCTTGCAACATATTTTTCCTGTCTATAGGTAATTAATACTCAGGTTGTTTTCAGACGGACCTTTTGATCTACAGTTTTATGGTCCATCTTGATAATTTCTCCGTGGATGCAAAATATATCATTTATATTTCTTTAATAATCAGCTTAGCGTTCTTATTGTCGATTTTGTTCTAAGTAAAGAAATGGTAAGAAGTACTTGGAAAGAAAGACCTAAAAACAGAAATACAAATCATCAAAAATATGGATGCTTTTGACTGTTTCTACTCCTAGAAGTTTTGGCTTGTTTATCACCATCCCTTCCTCTATTCTGTTCCTGTATACAAAAGCTGTGAACATACAAATTTGTGTGTTACAGGGAAGTTAATATTATAACAGGAGGAGGAGGACACAATACCTTGAATCTAGAAGTATTTTGTAGAGAAAAATAAAAACACATGCAAGCACACCAAATGTTTGGTTGAATGTCAGTAACTCTAGATGTGTCAGTAACTTTAGATGTTGGAAATTGGAACAGGTAGGTGAGAATGGGCTGGAAGAGAGGCTGGGATGAATGACTCCAATATTTAGATCTCCAAATTCATCAAGGCCCACCTCTGGTATGAAAGCCTTTTCAATAAACCATCAAAGTGAATTGTGTAAATAATTGTGCTATAAACTCCAACAGATTACTATGAGAGATGGGTCATGTCTGGTGCAACCTCAAATGTAGAGCCCAAAGATACAATGGTGTAAACAAAATATTGCCTCAGAGTTTACATATCTTTCGAATCAGGTGCCTGTTGTCACGTTTGTACATTAGCCATACTTGTATAACAGCATACTTCCCTGTTCTCTTTACAGCGCCATCTGTCCCCAGAGGAATTTTACCAGGTGTTTGGCATGACTACTGCTGAATTTGATCGCCTGGCTTTGTGGAAAAGAAATGAGTTGAAGAAGCAGGCTCGGCTATTTTGAAAACAGTATATATAAAAACTATATAAATATCTCTATATAGAAGCTCTGTATAGTACAGAGTAGAATCTCTGGCTGTTCTCTTTGGAAGCCTGTAGAGTGAACTGAAGTCTCACAAATATTTTTATGCTCTTTGTTTCTTTTATTCTTTTTTTTTTTAAAAAAAAGGAGTAACTGCTATTTGGGAAACTTTTCAACTGTGGGGAGGATGTGGGAGCCTGTTTTATACTGAGCTGTTTCTTTTTCTTACATCAATGTTGAGAACCTTGGGCATTATTATCGTAGCTCACCATGAGCCTCTTAAAAGCAAGTCTGGAGAGATAGGATGATGGAACTGGGGGCATATTTTGACAGAGCCAATCATCCGTATACAACTCCCCCCCACCCCATGGCTTCAGAATATTTGAAGTATGCCTGCTCAGTCAGGCCAAGGATTTATCTCAACCTGCCTTTTGTTTCTAACAGTAGCCCAACAAATATCTTTTGCTTTTTTCTATTATTTTCCTTATTCGGGTTTTCTCCTGCGTAAAATTGGAAGTATCTAGGCGACGTTTCGATGAAGTCTCATTCATCATCTTCAGGCTTGTGTCTTCGGCTTTGTGCTTCTCGGATGATGAATGAGACTTCATCGAAACGTCGCCTAGATACTTCCAATTTTACATGGGAGAAAACCCGAATAACCAAAGATCCACATACAAATACCCGTGAAAACCTCAGAATATATACATACATACATACATACATACATACATATATATATATAGTATTCAGCTTTGTTTGGGTATTTTCCCACATCATTATAGTTGTGCTTTTAAAGTTGTAGCAACGTTTCGGCAGAATCTCATCTGCCATCATCAGGCTTCTATATTGTGTTCGTCTGTGAGTCAACTGTCAACAATTGTAAAAGTCTGACTCACAGACGAACACAATACAGAAGCCTGATGATGGCA